ACACATATATTTAAATACACACGAAAAACTCTATATAAAATATTCACACAACACACAAATATTATATAAAACAGAATACACTTATAAACTAAAGAATATACATAGAGGCACGTCTTAGTCTACTCGCGACTTGATTTAATCTCCCTCTATATACTTGATACCACTATCTATCTCCAGACCCTGGAAGTGGTGCCATCTAGATATCAATGATACCCACATATATATAAGGTGATTAAAATCTGGTAAGATATTCATTTTCTCAAAAAATATTGAGAATTTTAAATTTTATTATAGAGAAAAAATCAAGTTCAAAAAACTCTACCATAATATGTAGTCAAATCATCATTTTTTTCGTTCCTCCAGGGATAAAAACCCTTATTTATAATTTTCTTAAATGGGAACCCTTATTTTTAAATTTATAATTTGATAGAAAAAAAAAATTACAAACAATTTTGTTCTTATAATTTTTTTTATCCGATTAACCGTTCGTCCGTTACAACTTGTTAAAGTTAAGTGATTTTATGCCAAATTTCTATTGTCATTTTACTGTATTAAATATAGAAGTCATTATTTTTATTTGCAGTTGCATAAACCAAATTTTATTGATCAAATTATGACAGGTAAATTGGTAGTAAAAATTTACTACTCACTAAATGATTGATAACAATAATAGATTCAAACCGGGTTTTCGGTGTATTATTAATAGATAAGTCTATGGTTTTGTAAGACTAAAGGTTCTAACAAAATTATCGGTTTCACTGCCACCGATATTATGAAACGTAATAAATGACAATATTTTTTCTGGAAGTTAAAATCTTTAAACAATTATAAAACGTAAACGGTTGTTCGGATAAAAAAAATTATAAGAACAAAATTATTTGTAATTTTTATTTCTATCATATTATCAAATCAAAAATAGTGGTTCCCATTTAAAAAAATTACAAATAAACATTTTTATCCCTGAAGGGATAGCAGCGTTAGATCGGTGTAAAATAAGTGCACGAGACGCAGTTTACATTATTCAAGCAACAGTTGAAGCTTTAGGTCATGACGTCGATTCTCTTATAATACACAAGTCTTCAATACATAGATGCCGTGAAGCTATGTNTAAATAAGTCTTCAATACATAAATGCCGTGATGCTATGCGAATTGAACGGGCTAATTTAATAAAAAAAAATTTTCAAAGTTGTCCTCCTATGTATGTCACTGTGCATTGGGATGGAAAAATTTTACCAACTTTAAATGTAAGAGACTCGGGCATTGATGGGTTACAAATTGTGATAACTAATAAAAATCTAGATTTATTAATTGGTATACCGAAGCTGAAAAATTTGACGGGGTATGAACAAGCTAATGCTGTTTATTGTGCGTTAGACGATTGGAGTTAATTAAATATTGTCCAAGCTCTATGCTGCGATACCACCGCATTTAATATGGAACGTTTAAAGGGTTCGTGTATTTTACTAGAACAAAAATTAGAGAAAGATCTATTGTATTTACCTTGTCGCCACCTAATATATGATCTGATTTTACGCGGTGTTTTCGAAACAAAACTTCCTCAGGTAACATTAAGCCCTGATATTTCCATAATTAAAAACTTTTAAAAAAATTGGTATAATATTGATGTTTCTAATACGATCTGTGGAATAAATGACGTCGAATGTTGCTCTGCACTTGAAAATTATCGAAATGATATTCTCCAGTTTTCTAGGGAAATGTTGCGAATCGAATGTTTTAGAGATGATTATAAAGAATTGATCGAGCTATCTATAATTTTTTGAAATGGTGACTCAGATAAAAAAATTAAAATACACCCTCCTGGAGCCATGCACCAAACTCGTTGGATGAGTAGAGCAATATATTGCTTAAAGATTTATTTATACCGAAAACAGTATTTACTAAAAACTTTTTAAATAAATGCTATTCGAGATATATGTATTTTTATTATTCAATTTTATTTAAAAGCCTGGTTTAACTGTATTGAACCGTCCAAATAGTCTCGGTTCAAAACCGAGCCGAATAACGACTTAAATTTTATCAAAGAATTAAAGTTATATGAAAAAGAACAACCGTTAATCGCGAAAGCAGCGTTAAATAATATTTGTAATTATTTATAGTACTTAACAGAGGACACAGCAGCTCTAACATTTTTTGACGATTCCATTTCAACCGAAATAAAAAAAATAATGGTTGTATGCCTTAATAATGAGTCAATAATTAACCCTAGCAAACGTTTTATTCTGTCATCGAGTGTTATAAACAAATTATTTTCAGGTATAATAATTTTTGATATCTTTATTTTTTGATGACTATTGGGTGATTGATTTTTTTTTTTAGAAAAAATTGTAGCTCCTTTTTTGTCAAAAATCAGTATGAAATTTTTTAAACGATTCGATATCAATACTAATTTTTTAAATTTGGATCCAAGTAATTGGAATACTGATGATGTTTATTTACACGGAAAATAAATTGTATGTTCACTTAAAGTAGTAAATGTCTCTGCAGAGAGAGCGGTTAAGCTAATGGAAGATTTTCATGGAAGTTTAACTGTAAACGATGAAAAAGCTGAGTTACTTTTACGCTGTGTCCAAGAGCATAGAAAATTATATCCTAATTGCAACAAAGAAACATAAAAACATAGTTTTTAATGTATATTTTTGTTATAATTTGTGAATTATTTTGAATTTAACATTTTGTATTTTATGTAGTAATTTTTTTTTTATTTATATAATATTATTGAGAAGCAAGTATAATTATGCGATTAAGTCAAACAAATACATCACTTTACAATATAAATGAAATATATTTAAATTAAGCAATAAAAATCATATATTTAGTAAAAATCGTAATAAGATCGAGTTATTTCAACTATAGCAATAAAACGATCGGTTCAATGAAATTTGTACTTATTACTTTTATTTCGTAAAATTGAAGTTTAAACAATTTTTGTATGAAACATTAGGACGTATCACATATGGTTCGTCATATATGATGAAATATTCGTAAATATGCTAATTTCGGCAATTTTATGAAATATTATGTATTTTGACATTTTCAAAAGAAAAACTGTAAGGACTTAATTTATACAAAACAGTTTGATCTACAATTTAGTTTTAGTATTTTTTTTTTGTGAGAGCGCTAATTTACGAGTTAATTGCTAAAACTAAAAAAGTACCCCTTTTGGCCGATTTTCAACCCCTAGTCGGCACGGGTTAAACTTATCTGATCGGCCTGAAATTTTTTGTATCTACTTTTTATATGTATACACATAAATTTGGGTGGTGAGCCCGAAGAAATTCCAAAATTTTCAAAATAAGGAACACCCTAATATATATATATTAAATTAAATCTTATGTAATATACTTTACTATGAAAAAGAAAAATTTTAGACTTTAGTTTGTTTTCATGGTGAAAACTAACATCAAAGTTAATAAAACAATAAGATTTTTGTAAAAAAATTCTTTTTTATATTTTTAATTTTGTAATGCTATAACTTTTTGAAAAATACATACTATTAAATAAATACTATTTATATATCTGTTTTATTAGACATACTTTTTTTTTAAACAACACCATTTCCCTTTATATATATTTATTCATATATTACACTTATAAATCATAAGACTTGCAATCAGGATATAAATAAGGAAATAGGAGATCATATACGATTTATGATCTTTTGACGTATCATTGAAAGAAATCGGTTCAGTGAGAGCTGAGAAAAAGTGGTAACAGACACAAAAAAAAAAAAAAACATCATAGTAAAATTAATACCTCCTCAGCTTCGCATCGAAGCTAAAATTGACTCCAGTTATTTATTTGTTTAACATTATTATTTTCTATAAGCATTTATATAATTGTTCTATTTCGTATTAACAGTACGTAATTAACATATGCTTCCATAGTTACGAATGTTTTTAATTCAAAACAAATACTTTCATTACTTTTAAGCCTACTTTAAAGTGTATTTATATGATAGATTTGAAACTGAATACCATAAATCTTAAAAGAGATAAAAAATACAATGAGCTTAAAGAGAAGTAACAGTAATTCTGACATAGCTGGTAATGCAACATTACAGTGCTTGGCTAGTGGCATTAACTATCCTATTGGAGAGACTGAGGTAGATTTTTTCTTTAGGAAATAAACTAAATTTAAGTGTTAAGATGAACTTATTAAAAATACATATATTTTTATATGAAAATAATATCTATATTAACTTTAAGCCATCTTAACTTTGTTTTATATTTTACAATGTACTTTATTTTTCTTTAAAATGGTTAAATTGATATATTATAACTCTTCAGTTTGTTATTTGACGTTCTCTTGCCTGTTCACTTGTAATTGAAGAAAAATCTATTTCACGAAGACATTGTTTTATAAATAAATCCAATGGCCAATATCTTATTTCTCACAATGTAAGACTTAAAATTTTTATTACATTTTTATATGAATTTAGCTATCAAAGAGAATAATTAATTCTAAGTTGATCAACAATATCTGTACTACAGGGAACAGGTAATGAAACTTATGTAAATTGTGTGCAAATTCCTAATAACCAAAATGATTATCAAGTTTTAAATCATGGAGATGTTATTTCCTTTGCAGATGGGAGTGGAAGTTATAAATATCTGTACAGATTTGTTTTACAAACATATACTGATAAAAAATTGAAGTAAGATTATTCTTAAGACATCATGTGTGTAAGTAATACACTAATATAATCAAATGTATTGTTTATTTTATTAAACGCAATCAAATAAATTGATTAATATAAACACTATATCTAAATCAAAATTATCTGAAAAATATTATTTTAATTCATTCTTTTAATATTTGTCAGTTATTTTTATTATAAACTTTCTAATCGCTTAAAATGATAATTACAAAGAGTATGAACAATATTTGTTTATAAAACTTTAAATATAGATTTTACATTTAATATTGTTAAAAAATGAAAAAAATTATTCCTTTTTAAATTTTAACTTTTAAACTATGCTTTCTCACAAAAAATATTTAAAAAAACTTGCATTCATGGTAAAATGCTTTTTTGTAAAATTCAGAATTATGCTTAAAATATTTCATTCATATAAACCCTATACTTTTAAAGTTACTCTGCTATTTGTGTTTAATTTTTATAAAGTTAGATGTTTAAATTAATTGTATTTATTTTTCAGACGAAATAATGAAGTATATGGTGAAGAATATGAATCTAGTAAAAGTCAATCTTATGTTGACAATATTGTAAGTTTAAATTCTGTGGATGATCTTATTTTTACAATTCATTTCTTTAAATGAATACAAAAATTATATATTTATTTTTAATTTTTATTTATGATACAACCCTACTTGGGTACATATCTCATGTGCCTGTTAACAGTAACCCAACATTTTAATTAGTACATATCCCATTAGAAAAAACTAATTAAAGTATAATGGAATCAAATAATAACGTTTATTAATAATAAAATAAAGTAATAATCTATGGATTCAAGATATGTTGAGAATGTCCATCAAAGAGATGACAATGTGCTATAAACGTTATGAGAATTATAATTTTTTATATCACAATTAAATAATAATAATAAGTTCAAATAATATTAATTAGATGTTAAACATTCATATTGTAGGACTCAACTGCTTGTTGCACTACATTTTCACTAACAATTTTCTGTAAGAATGTGTATATTAACATTGTCAGCGGGTCCCTGTATATCTATCTGTAATAAGCATGAATGCTGACAAGCTGTTAAATGATATTAACTGAACCAAGATTTGTGCACAAAATGTGACCGTATCACTTATTTAAATCCATTTTTTTAATTATTAGTTGATTTATTTTAGCTGAAAAGTGAAAAAGCATTAATGAAGCGTTTTCTAACTGCTAAATTAGATAAATTTAATGAAATAATTAATCAAGAATCAAAAAAAGTTAAAAAATTGAAAAAAAGTAAATATATTTTAAGTAAAAATAACTTAACCTCGGATTAATACATATTATATTATTTTCACCCAATAATAATTTTTTTTATTAACATTTACTATAATTAATAAAATATATATAGAATGTATTATTTTTTAATTAATTCTAAAATCATGTTTTATTAACCTATATTTTTGTATTAAATCATATAAAAAAAAATTTTTCCGCAGCATAAACTCGGTAATAATGAATTAACAATTTTTGTAAATTTGACCTTTTTTCTGCCCACAGGGGGGAATTTAAAAAGACAACTTTTTCACAAAAAATTAACTTTTTCAACTTAACTTTTGAAAATGTTCCGGAAATACTGCGTCCTTTAAACATATATCAAATTAAAGCTTATTTTATGTACTA